CCAACAAATTCATATTGCCTAAGAATGTTATGATCCCACATATTACCAAGTATTGCCCCTTCCCTTACTGTAGGAAATATTAGCTGAAAAAAAAAAAAAAAGTGGAATATATTTGTAACAGATGCAAACATAAGAAAAAATAACCCTACACCTTTGATTTTAATCTATAAGGAATTATAAATACACAGTCCTTATATTCCTGACATTACATCACATACATTCATGTATGTGCACTCTACCTCAAAACAATATACCAGAGTGTGAACTCTAATTTAACAAATCCAGTTAAATGCTGACACTTTTAAAAAAACAGAAGTATTGCAAATGAGTAAAATACAATCACTTCTATGAGTTAAGAGGCTACTATGTATGGATCCTTATAATGAATTTCATTTCTAGATACAAGATACAGTATGTGAACATCAATAAAGATTAACTTCATCCAAATACTGTTGTTTTCTATCTAATATCTCCCTCTTTCTGTGTAATGTTGGACACAATGAGAAAATTAACAGTGACATTCATACCTCTGCCCCTTCTTCCTACTGACTTTGCTGCCTAGCTCCCTGTACTAGACAGACAAATATTGCAGTGACAGTCAAATCAGCTAAGTGACACTTTCTGACATTGCCCGTGCTGTGGCTAACTTACCAGCACATCAAAAATCCACCATCACTTCCAAAGCAGCAAATTAATAACTCACAGAATTACACAATTGGCATTCACCAGTTAGTTTGGTTTTTTTTAAAGTTGAATTATTCTTATTCATCTCTTCGCTAGGGCACAGAAATATTTTTTATATGTATGCACAAACATATATCCGTATCTATACACACACACTCTTAAGTACTATTAGAATTTCATTCAATTAGTCGTATGTCTTATTTTCTAATTCTCTTTCCAATCTTTTTCAATTAAAAGAAATCAGGCTCATGTCTGTGTGGTGCTACTCCAGGGGGTTTCATGTCATGTTCATTTTACAGACAGGAGAGTTTAAGCTGTCATTTCTGTCACTCTGGGTGCTTAATTGATTAAGTCTTTCAAGCAACAGTAGAAGATAATTTTTCTGCTATGATGACAATCAATTTTACATTTTATCATTGTAGAACTTAAGATGTTGGTGCAGTTCAGGATGCAAAAGTATTCTACCAAAATGACTGTGCTCAGATAGTTCAAAGATACACTAAAAACTGAGTCTAATTCTGTATATACAGAAATGACAGTGATATACATACTAATCAGCAAATCTTCACTAACACAGTACTGTATTTGTAGTTTTGCAGCACATAAGCATTGGTATTTTTCTACTTATTCTAACCTCAGTTAGTTTAATTTTCCTGAATGGAAAGACTGTACATTTAATAAAGTGGTCTGTGTTTGGGAAACTTATTTCATATAATGAAAAAGCTGGAATATGGGTAAACAAAACCAAGCATTCCAGGCAATATGGTTTGTGGCACAATCCTAGAGCAATACACCTCTGAAGCACTCATGAAATGGCTTAGTTGCTCTCCTAATTGCATCCAGTACATTAAAATAACTTAGGATTTCCTTGGATGTAATAACTAATAATGCAGAAAGCTGTAGTAATAAGGGTTTAGACCAGAGATGTGCTTTTTATAGCTGTACACACAAGCAAAAAGCAAAAGTACATAAGAAATCGATTTTAAAAGGACATTAAAATACCAATTCCTTAATTTTTGAAAATACGTTGATATTAGAATCTCCACACTGGTTCAACCAAGTTGGTGGCTCAACTACAAAGTGTTACAGAAATAGAAAACTACTCTGCAAACAAAGTCTTCTATCAATAAAAGCAAAATCTTAACCTGCAATTTAAATATTTAAGTAATATAATCATTGAAGTAATATGAAGTAATCCTACTCGATACACAACATAATTAACCCATGCAATAAATTACAGAACAAAACCAAGAGGTTACTTGTCTCAATAACAGCAACAATTACATTTCTGAGGCTTTTAATCGTGAATTCGCAGCTGAAAATCAAAATTAATGGCCCAAGGTAAAGACAAGAAAACAGAATTTTCTGTTGTCAGTACTTAAATGACAACAAATAATTCACCATTACACCATTATTAGTCCTTTATTTTACAGAATTTTTATTTGGAATGAATTTGATAATTCAATGTTTACCTTTTTTTTAATGGTCCCATATTTCTAAGGTAAATAAACCCCTTTTTTCCCCCCTTTGTAAGGTGTCTATTCTAACTTCCTAACTCCCAATCTTCTTCCATTTGATTTACTCTAATATTCAGAAATGCTATTGTGCAAGAATATTTGACACACTGGTCCTTCAATATACATTTCAATACAGATTTTCAACCACTGCTTCCAAATGACCAAATAATCTTCTAAATCTATCTTAAATAACTAAATGCAAACATATTTGTAACTTCATGTTAAAATATATCAGATGTTTTGAAACCTCTGATATATCAATTTATAGTATTTAATCTGTCACTATTAACGCAGAGCTATAAACAACTATAGTATCTTAACAATCACTCACAGACTACTTTGCAAACCTTTGTCAGTCCACAAACCTGATGATTCACTACATTAAAGTTATTTCTGGTAACAAGATGCCAGCTTCTGGTTATAGTTTCTTATTATTCAAAGTATTACTACATTATGATATTATGACTTGCATGCAAAGAGCCTCATCTATCTTAAACAACAGCTAAATTTTATTTAATCCAGAGAATTTATACAGTGGATGTTGTGTCAACCAGACTTTCAAGCTTTGTTGTCTTCTCCTGGGTGCTGTGAAGAGCAAACATGAGCTTCCACAGGAAGGGAAATAGTATGTAAATCTGAACAGCATAGCCTGTAGCTTCAGTCCCTTATATCAGCTCATCTTCTCTTTAGCTCACCTATGGCAATGGGAGTAATCCAACCTATTCAGAGAAATTTTTTTTAAGGAGACCTACTGATAGCCCACTCTATCTTGAAAAGGTTCTTGGTCTGGGGTTTAAACAGAGTAGTGTCTGGCTTCTGTAATGTTTTGAATTGGTACAGCCATCTGCAAACCTAAAAATCATTAAGTGAACTAACAAAAATTCAAACCCCAGTGTATCCTGTAAAACTTTATTCCCTTTTATTATTAAGTTATAATTAGATCTGTGATGGTTCTAAACATACATGCACATAAAATATGGTACATGCTTCACTAAGATGTAGAGTTAGAAAACTTCAGCTGGAACATCAACTATCTATGAGATTCATCTTTCACATCTCAAATATTTTAAAAGTGCTCAGCTAAATATCAATTACTTATTTTCTTATCTTCCCTTCAGAGCTTAAACAGACACTGGTTACATATGTGACGAGTAATACATGAGCTGAGGAAAGACATGAAGATTCCAACTGATTCCAGTACTTTGATATCTTGCTAAAGGACAGTCTTGATCTGAAGTACTGCTGTGCTAGCTTCTGGTAAAAACCTTTTAACTGAAAATTTCCAACACATTGAGGGAGAAAGGTAATCTTAGACCTTTACCTTAGAAAGCTAATCTTCCTAGAGTGAGATCACTCAAAACAGATTGTATGAACTGAGACAAGCTGTCTCATACTTACACTGGGATCAAAGTCACCAGACAAATAAAGGGTAACAGACCATCTCACATCTTTGAGAGCTCCTCTCAGTCCCTGATACAGTGGCTCTTACAAATGTTAATTAACTAATGCTCTTACACGAGGGCTAAATTACCTTGACTATCCAGTAGCAAGTGAGAATAAGGCTGTCCATAATAGCAGTTATGCATGGAGCTAACATGAGCATAATGTGTTAACCCTGCAGCGTCCACAAATGCTCTCATCTTCTGGTAAATGAGAAGCCATTTACGGTCCTAATCCACAATGCAGTACTTCAAATTATCTTGTATTTTGCAACCCCCACACTTCCAGATAAGCATGAGATAATTTTAAGTCTCAAAAGTGACAATAAAACAGTATTTAGTTGTTATCCTTCTTTCTGAGGATCTTTCATTGCTCAGAGTAATTTATTGTGTTTTCGAGAAAATCTATTTAAACATTTCTCCAAATTCTGGATGTTGAAAAAGAGACCACTGAGAATTAAAAAAAAAAAGGGGGGGGGGGAAGAGGAAAATATTTCCTTAAAAGAGAAAACAAACTTCTCTCAAAGGTTCTCTTTCTTCTTCTGTTCCCATCTCCCCCTCCATCCACAACTCCCTCATTTGATGGCAATATCATTAACTTCTATAGCATCAGCAACTGGAAACTGTTTTAAATAACACATTTAAATTCACACTACATCAGAGGAACTGACCCATCCTATTTAATTAGAAACCTAACTTGTATACAAACTTTAGTTATCTTGGAAAACAGACATTCTAAATTAAGTGTATATTTTACCTACATGATCAAAAGGGGGATGAGCCACTGATAACTTACAAAGAGAAATCTTACCTAACCTAAGTCACTATGGTTGTACTAAATCAGCTAATGGGCTGGGGCAATACTATTGGCAGGAATGTTTAAATATTTATTTTAGCCCAGATCAGCAGTGAGCTTTCAAATCAAATCCCCGAATTGTCTAATTTATTGTGCTTGTGTTCCACAACAGAGAGCAGTCTTAAAGTACATGAACTGGACTGTTTTTCAAGGAAACTAGATCAAAAGACTCATTTCAGAAATACATTTATTGTGCTACAACTGATAGAGAAGAGATACACTAAAAGAAGCATTTGTCTAACAGACAGAATGGATCTCACTTCACATTATAGAAGCACAAAAAATAATCTGCCTAAAACAACCCTTAAGAGACAGAGTAACCTTGGATTTGGAGAAAGATAACATTTTTTGCAATAATGAGATCAAGGATGTTACATGAGACTTTCTAACTGCATCAGAAACATGTCAGTCAGTAATCTACATATTAATTTTTCATCATATAAGCCATGACATCCTTTAGACTACTCATAAACAACAATTAGGTGGGATGTGACTGCAACTTGCCTGATCAAGATAAAAAGCACTCCCATCTCGGATCTCTCGTCGCTGTTTGAGGTCAGTTTCTGTGGTGTCCCTTGACAGCGCAATATATTCAACCTCCCGCTTTGTTAGCTCCTGTGGACAACAGGCTGAAGTTATTACAAAAAGAAGACTATAAACCCAATAAGTGAACATTAACAATATATATAGTGGTATAATTGTACAAAGAGCTCTAGGCAGCAGCACAGTCAACTGAAACAACTCTGAACATAATCTAATTTCTCTTACTTTTTAAAATGTTTAGTGTGTTCTGTCTCAAACAAAATGGCTTGAATTTCTGCTCAATAAACTTTTATGTTCCCCAAACCTGTTCTAAAAACATAATAACCAGCTATATATTCTTTCCACTGAACATCTGTAACATCCTGTAAGTTAATCTTCTGGTTCTGGACTCTGAAAAACAATCAGCATCTGCAAACCATGAATAAAAATCAGAAGTTTTTCATAAAGGACTGAAAAGCTTCAACTCCCTCTGGTTAGTAACACCTCCACTGTGACACAATTGTGACTAATACCTGTACAATGCTTTGCTAGTACACTGAACTACACTGTTCTTATCCTCTGTTCTTATACTCTCTCCCTGCAATGTCAAGAGATACAGTCTGCATCTGGGAAACTTGGGTTACTGTTTTGTTTATTTTAAAAGAATATAGGCTATTCTTAGAATTTTTTATCTTAAAGGGAAAAAAAAAACACAACACGTAGACCTGATTTTCCTGCTACTTTCATATCTGGGTTATCATGCATTCTCCCAGGAAAAAGCATTACGCTGAAATGCTCTTAGCCCTTACTCCTCAATTAAAGGCATGATATATTTAACAGATAACTCTCAAGAGGCAGATTTTAACTATAGCTGTATGAAAAAAATCAAGCAAAGATATAAAAAACTCATTATTTCCTTTTCACTTTTTCAGTGCCTAGTGCTTACAAATCCAGCAGTTCCTCTGTGCTGCAGGTAAAATCACAGAATCATAGGGGTTGGAAGAGACCTCTGAAGATCAAGGTAGATACAATTGTACTTTCTTTTAAACAAAGGAAAAACAAACAAACCAAACCAAAACAGAAGATGAAATACAGGAGAGTTTTCTTCAACAAGTAGCTTTCAGCAAGAGCAGACCAAGTTTTCCAGGCTTCCATAGCTTCATTAAAGGGATGACAGCATTTTAGCAGCACGCATGCAGAGACCAGCCTTCACACAACTGTTTAGTATAGCACTGAAACAGTAAGTTCCATCCTTTCCAATATAGTTCAGGTGGATACAAAATGTGGTAGAAATAGTAAGGCACATTTTATGTCCCATGCCTGGAGACCAGGTGTCTCCTAAGTCCGCTTTTTAGATTATACCAAACTCTTGTCATTCATTTTAAGGAATGTATTGAGATATCACACAGCATACCTGGCTTGCTGAATTGAGAAATTATTGGTCTCCTTTCCAAAGTTGAAAATCTTGGACCTTTCCCATGTATACTTTACCTCAGAGGGCTAGTCCTTGAATTAGTATCTTCTGTTTTTAAAGGATCAGCTGATCTTTATTATAATTGTTTATACACCTCTATTTGTGATCCTTCTGCCTAGCCAGATTCTAGATTGACCTCATGGCAGGCAAACTCCTACCTACATTACCTTTCGGAGCAGACAATCCACTTTTCCTGATCATTTATGGGCACCGATGATTTAAACATGAATTTTGCACATGGTGCTGCCATGGTTCATGCAGATGGATGTAGGCAAGTCCTTCCCACATTCCACGAGAGGATCACACACGCATCTACTCTTTGTAATCACTCATGATAACTGTTCCCAAATGTTATTCAGAACACTCCTCTCCCAAATCCTTTCCTTCATTTCTTTTTTTATATAATGAAGCAAACCCGATTTGTTGTCTATAACAGTAGGCAGATATCTTAATCTTCTAACATACATAATGCCTAGAACAGACTGTTTCTCCATTTGTGACAGCATATGGTAACACAGTTTTCCAACTCTTTATTTTTTCCCCCATGGAGTTTAAAGCAGAAAAACATGTATTAAAATGTCTGTACCTTCTGTTAATCTGTAACAAAAACTGAACTTTAGAAAGCACATTTATGGAATAACTTACCTCCTAAGTAGTTTGCTGTAAGATTTTCTAGGACTACCTTTTATAACTTGGCTAGCAGAGGAATGACTAACAGACAGTAATGACTGTGTCTCCAGCAACTTAAACCATCATACTTACCAGATACTGCATGGCAATAGAGCGCCGGAGAGGCCCAGGAGGACCAATAAGAAAGACATCTTGGCCAAGAAGGTCCTTCTGCATTATCCATCTTAAATGGTGGACTACAGCCTGGGCCAAAGAATCTATCACTTTGAAAGAAACACAAAGAACACATTTTTTAACTTGAAGTGTTATATATCTGGCCATTTACCCTTTTTTTTTTTCTTCTTACCTTAAAAATAAACCAAAGACACAAAGATGTGCTTCCCTAAAGCTGGACAGCTGCAAAGCAGAGAGTTCCATACACAGTTTATATTAGACTACTTAATTTACATGTAAGTTTATATATCTATCGTACTCGTGTTTTTCTCTGCACAACTTCATCCTTCAAAAAAAACTCAAACAAACAACAAAAATCAGAAAAAAAATGTTGATTCTCATTTCACATTAAACTGATCAATGCAAAAACTGTTTTTATTACCCAATGTTGGCTGGACTTCTCAGCATCAGTTAATATAATATAGATAAATTATTAATAATTTGTAAAGTTTATCCAGCTTGTATCTCTATGGTTCCGTGAATCATGGACATAAGAAAAATAAAAATACTGTGCTTGCATTTATGCTTAGGGATATATTTAATTTGCTATTTTCTTTAAAGACAACTACATTCCTTTTTATATTTTAACACAATAAAACACAGAATTAGATTACCAAGAAAATGCAAATCTCACAGTATCAGTACATCAATACCAATGCACCTTCCAAAATTCTACAAAAAAACAACTCAATGTCAATCCACTTATTTCTATTAAGAATACCATCCTCTTGCTATTTTTAAAAGCAAAAACCTGATTATAATTAAACTAAAACCTTTACCACATGCATGCAAAGTGCCATGCAGAGAAAACACACTAAAGGAGGGGTGCTGTTCCCACTGCCGTACATCCTTCTGTTCCCAGAATACTCCTTCATATACACCCCAGCAAGCCCTGGGCCCTTTCTGAAGACACAAGCAAAATCACTAGTGCAGGAAGAGAATGAGAACACAAGCAAGCCAGAAGGATATTTGTGTATGCATGTACATATAGGGTTGCTTCCAGAACAATCTGAAAAGACTGGTATTGGGCTTTGAGGCGGGAGTCTCGAGGATGTTGTCCGAGATGCTGAAGTGCAGCAAGGAAGGAGGAAGAGATGATGAAATCTTTAAGTTAATACTTGGTTATTTACCTTTTCTCAGTGTGATTACTGGTTGTAATTAGAAGGCAGTATTTAAAAAAACAAGCCTCTGATCTACATCAGCTTTCCTGAGACAGAGGCGGCAGTAGGTGCTGGGCAGAGTAAAGGATGGCAAGCAATAGTGCCCCTCAGCTCTGAGGGGTTTGAGTCCACTGTCAAATCTTTGTATACCAGAATGAAAACTCATTTTAGTAAGATCCTGGAAACAATATGACTGTATGAGACTCAAGAAAGATTTTTCAAGCCTAAAGGTGGCTTAGGAAAACTTTATGAAAAATTTTAACTGAATGTTTTGGTCTGGCACTCAGGGAAAACATCTGAAATCTTCCAGAGAAGTCTGCTATATCCTTACTACTAATATACACAGGAATAACATACACACCTCAGCAGAGCAATCTATGCATTACGATTATGAGATGAACTGCAAATAAACATTTCAGGTTTGCTGTTCTGTTTTCTGAACAACTGTCACTAGTGTGCTGAGGATTAGGTTTCATATATAGTATGGTAAGATCATAGAAATATAAGAGTATTTACTACTTCACTAGAAAAATGTTTGCCAAAAACTATGCACATCACACATGCCCCACAAGCAGATCGAATGCAAATAAATTCCTCACAGAGAAGAACATATTCCTTTCTATGATATTTTCAAGAAAATTAAGAACATTCCTATTACATACATTCTTTGGGAAATAACAGGTAAATACATCGCATCAGAAGAACTGCTCTGCCCAAACTCTGCCACTGGACAGGTATAGTAGTTTGAAAAGCACCACACAAATAAAAGGTATTATATTAAAAGTACCATTAAAATTGAAAGACAAGAGATCTCACTAAGTATTTTTACTTCTACCTGTTGTATGAACTTGCCAAAGCGCACCTACTGTATTTTTATAATAGCTGTTCACAAAAACAAAAAGCCACTAAGTAAAGTGGACAAATAAGCTTGAAAATCTTCTGAAACACTTAACTCTTTCATGTCAAAAGTCCTGCATTAGAAGCCTGGCAAAACCAGCTTTGACACAACATGACTACAAACGCCTCTGGTGTATTTTACATTAATATGTGTAGCTATCATCTTTTTTATTTTTAGAATGGCCTCAAGAAAAAAACTTGGGTCAGAAATCAAAGAAGTATCATAAATAGAAACAGGGTTTAAGACTATTCAGTAGCATCTGCAAGAAAAACTGTTGTGTAGAAGAGAACATAAGTGTAGAGCATTCAAAAAAATCTAAAATCTTCGAATGTGATCCCCCTGCAAACCTTCAGAAGTATATATAAGACACTCATAGTCTTGATATTGTGTTTAAATGCCCACATTTTCAATAAAATATTCATATGCAAATTTAAAAAATCTCTTTTTTTTTTTTTTTTTGAGAAAGGACATAAAAGACACAATACCTTATAGATAGATTTCCTGGAAAATAGTTTCCTGGCTTCACCATTCACATAGTTCTCCTCACATACAAGTTACAGCTGGACCAATAATAATATATGTTTCCAATCACAAAGTTAGCACACTGACCATCTGCAAACTCACTCAAAGGAAGCTTGTTACAAATAATGCCAACAGTTCAAAGAAACCATTCCTTAAGGTGAACTGTCCTGACAGCAGCTTCCACTTGTCTGTTCCCTCTATTCTAACATGTAGTATCTGTATAATGCTCCAGAAGTCTCCCAGTTAATGCCCTCCTAAAATCAAATAATATCACATTTTCTTTGCATGTGCAGTACATGCTGTATAAACTGTTTCCAAAGCACAGCATGCTTTACAAAAGCGACTTCAGATGCATATACCCAGTATCTTCTATATTATTTCTCTATATTTATCCTACTTGTATTGTAGTATCTGCATTGCAAAGCTTTTACATTTTCTGTACCGTGACTTGAAAAAAATTCCTCTCTGTTCAAGAACCGTTTATTATCTTTACTACCAGCACTATATAATAATTTTCTATGACATTTATAAGACAGGGGAAATTAGCTGAAAAAAACATCAGCATGTATATTACAGCAATTTTTATTAATTATCCCATGAGTCAGATAGCATCTAACACAAACTGAGTTTGCACAATCTGTTTAGTGGCACTCTGCTGATTTGCAATAGTTGAGTAGCTGGCCCTGTATTCTTAATCTGCAGGATGGTGCGTAGGAAGCGTCTGCAGCATATTCTCAAAGACACCATCTGGCACATGCAGGAGAGTAGTCAGCGCTACAATTTGCTGTTCCTGTGTATCAAGGATGGCCAGTGAAAGAAATTGAATTTTATTGCTTTGTAATATGTGATAAGTAGGACAACACCTAGCAGAATCTGCACATTTTGTGAAGTGAGCAGCTGAAGCTGGAGCTTATCCCCAGATAAGAAAAGAAGAAAATGTTGTAGATGGATTTTTAAGCAAATGCAGCAGCTGTTGTTTGATCCACAAATCAGCTTTTGATAAAACAACAACTGAAATGGCTATGCTAGGAAATTTTCCAGTTCACTCATACTTGAATTCTTGGCACATGCTACACTCACTGAATCCGTAAGATTCACTGGAGATAGCAGACACTATCTGCTAGCAAGTCCTTCTGTCCCACCTACAGAAAAAACTCATAAATGAAGGAGATACCTACCTTTTCCACTGTTCAGAGACAGGCAGTTAAATGAACAGATTCCCAAGAATATCTATTCCAGATGTGGCACAAAATACATTAGAGCTCATGTCCCTGTATGACTCTAGTCATACAAAAGCCACGTAATAACCAACAGGCACTTACAAGAGATCAATATATTTAACAGAATAAAAAAAGACTTCTGCATACCCTGAATCTTTGTTACAGTGCAAGTTCAGAGCTTGAGAATGGCTCCTTTTAACAGGAGAGGCAAAAGTTCATAAGGGAAAGAAGATGTCCTTCTCATCTGATTCCTGAGGGATCCAGCACACAGAGTGGCTGCTGTAAAATACAGCAGAAGAAGAAGAGGACAACGGGGGAGGTCTTTGTCTAAAAATGTAAGCACATTTTAATAAGAGAGAATACTAAAAATCACCTGAGCTCACTGAGATTTATTTCACAGCTTGCTGTGGCTGGAGGACAATGAAGGAAGAGAGTGAGTTACCCAGCACGTGGTTAAGGCAGCATGGCCAAGGTGAAGAGGGAGGCACTCCTATGTGGCCTGTGTTCATCTGCTTTTACCTAGCACTTCACAAGGAAACATGCTGCTCTTCCAATTTTATGCTGATGCACAGAGCTGAAAGAGTTTTCAAAGTCTCATAACATGGTTAAATTGCAGAGAGTTTTCACTGGAATACTATTTTTCCTCATAAATTTTCCATGGAAACAGTCTTCATTCCAAAAATGTTTATTCTTGTGGTGGTAAGGAAACAAGTTATAAGTCTTTGCAGGGGATCAGAAAGGGGGAAGTTACTTCTTGGATGAGACGGTGTATTCATTTATCATTAAACCCTCCTGAAGTCAATTGCTTCGCAGGAAGGTGTAAGATCTACATAGATCATATTTCTCCGTGTGATTATAAATGAAAGGAGAACACAAAGGAATCATGTAAAACAAAAGTTTTCTGGAAGGAACTCTGAATGGGATTCAGAAGTTTCTCTTAGTGATATATAAACCTGGAATAAATGAAACTATTCTTAGCTGTATGTACAACTCAGAGCAATTATCTGTAGCTCATACTCCAACTGGAGGGATATAATGTGTCTGGTTGTGACTGCAACAGCTCAATCCAGCACTGAAGTTTGAGAGATTCTAGAAAAGAGCAAGAAGAATTATCAAAATAATTTTAATCCAGTCTAGAAAACAAATGACTGAAAACTGTAACAATGGTTTTCCAATTTGCAAGATGGAATCACAGTGAAAAAAAAAAGTTATCTGTACATTATGGTTATGCTAGATAGAACAAGCCTCAG